ACCTTTAAACAAGGCGATATAGTTATACTTAGTACGAAGAACCTCCGTATCCGTAAGCACCTATTACCTAACGGCAAAATAAGGCCTAATCTCGTACTAAGATACATTAGCCTATTCCGCATTCGAGAGGCTAAGGGTATATAGGCCTACTAGTTATAGCTTCTACCCTATTACACTATCTATAATACCTTCTATGTATCCCTCCTTAAGCTATACTACTAGCGCGAAGGCGATAAAGCGCCTACTAAGTTAGAAGAAGTCTTAGCCGATAGTGAAGAGCTATAGTCTATAGAGCGCATACTAAAGCATCGGACTAGGTAAGGCAAGAAGGAGTACCTCCTAAGATAGTAAGGCTATTTACCTAAATAGGACTCGTAGGAGGCTAAAGACTCTTTTAAGGATATAACTGAGTTGTTAGACGAGTATTAGACTAGTGTAAAGAATAAGAAGAAGGCTAAGAGGCTATAATGTTACTATTAGGGCCTAGGACTAATACTATCCCCGGGGTACTATTAGCTAACTAATTAGAAGCAAGCAATTGTTAGTAACAAAGGACAATAAGACTATACTACTATAGAATCCACCTCTTTACTAGCGCATCCTATAAGACCCTTCTCTTAGCGCCCCCTTCTATTCCTTTATTCTATCGAGGCCCTAAGGCCTAAGCGATCGACAAGGGCGATACGCGCGCGCGCGTACGAATAACGGTAATAAAGACGATAGTGTCGCGCTACGAGCTAGCAGTGTGCTAGTAGCCGGCGCGGCTATATTAGTAACGGTATTGCGGAGTATATTATTATCTAAAGAAGGAAGGACACGACTATATTAGTAACGGTGTTACTAAGTTGTTATTAGTTAACGAAGGAAATTAGAAGCAAGGTAAAGTTAGCGCTAAGACGGCTAGCGCCGCTATTATTAATATTACTTACTATTATTACTACGCCTATAGATACAACCTTACCTATACTACGAGCCTAAGGCACTAAGGGGTTGATTAAAACTTTAATTAAAACTTTAAGCCGCCTAAAAGATTAAGCGACTAATAGACTAACTAAGGGCAAAACTATAGAGCTAAGTTAGCCGGGGTCGATCTTGCGGACAATAGGTTACTCCTCGATCTTTCCGACCCTTTAAGCGAGGCGAACCTTAACTATTACACTTATAATAGCCTTTACCTATAGAGACTAGAAGAACTGAGTTTTTTGAAAAGATATAATTAGTTAACACTTAAAGGCTACTAAACCTAACTAATTAGGGCTAGTAAAACTACGATAGTAAATAATAGCCCTTATAATAACAAGGACGACCCTCGGAACGGACAAACCCTCGGAAGCGGACATTTCTAGGTCTTTTAGAGTAGACGTAGAGAACTCGGAACGACATTACTTAGAACGGAGGCAGGGCTGTAATACCTCGTACGTCTACCTATTATAGTAGGGAAGACGCGCTCGTATTGTAATTAGTCGAAGGCCTTCAATTCTTGTAAATATATATTACTTTATAGTTTATTATATATAGGGATAGCGTAGTTAGAGTTGCACATTGTACTATATTAGAGGTGAGGTTTAATATAGTTATATAATCGGTAGTTATACGTTCAATTTAGCGCGGACTAAGCGGCTTATTAGACCTACTAAGTTAGTAGTAATAGAGGTTGAGACTAGAACAAAGACCGGCTACGAGGGCGCGGCCTTTAGAAGGGAAGCGTGTATTAGGACTAAAGAGGTTATACGTAATTAGCATATAACCGGGCTCGAGTAAAGCTAGGGTCTCGATGCCTTAGGTAGGGCTTAGCGCTTAGTAGTAGGCTAACTTGCCTGCCTTCCTCCCTCTCCTTCTAGCTCCTTATCGAATACTACCTATACCTACTACTACCCTATCTACCTACTAATATACCCTTCTTATACGCAATCGACGGTAGTAGATATTAAGTCGTAGGAAGAGGTAGAAATAGTAATAGACGGCGCGCAATCGACGGTAGTAGATATTAAGTCGTCGGAAGAGGTCTAATTTGTCTTAGAGACACGTATTCGAGGTCGCAGTCGCTTACTAAGCGTGCCTCGAGAGCGTATATCGCTTCCTAACTGTCGATTAGTATTACTACGCCGTTAGAAGTACCTATTCTCGAAGAAATAGCGTTATAGACCTATACCTCGCGAGTCTTAGTTTCTATCGCACTACGCCCTCGTCGAATACGTATATACCTTCGGAAAGTCGACTAGATATAAGTTTAAGTAGTACAAGCTATAGAAGAATAAGAAGGGCATTAAATATCGCTATCGGTAGGTCTATAGTTGCTTCGGCGCGCCTAATAAGCGTACGTAGAAGGATAAGGAAGTAATAAAGCGGAAGTCGACTTCGAAGAAAATAGGCTATAGGTTCTATTTCTACGCTATTGCTATCGATCTAGCGCAACTAGAAGGCTAATAGGTTATCCGCTATTCTACTAAGGAAGATTACTGTTCTTATAACTATAAGAAAGACGATATTATCGCTCTTACTATATATAGGAGACAGTCGAGATCGGCTTAGTTCCTTAAGCAACTAGAGCGACTTTAGTAAGCGCGAATGCTAACCTCGAAGATTATAGTATACTTCCGCAACCGTAGTGTTATTCTCAAACTATAGAACCTATATAATATAGCCTAGACTCGCAATATTAACGTACGACAAGAAATGAACTAGGCCGCGCGGATAGTTAAGTTATTAGATAAGAACGGCATATTCTACGACATTTACGAGAACCCCGAGAACGGTACTATTCGAAGTATAGTTGCGCTCTACCCTAAGTCACTCGAGGCCTTTAAGAATACGCTATATATACTTATTATTAATACGACGTATTTAACTAATATCTATAACCTCGAGCTTCTAGATATCGTCGCTACTAGACCGATAAACAACACGATTAAGCTCGGCGTTAGCCTTATTCGACCGAAGCCTAATTAAGCCGACTTTACTACTTTATTATAGTTACTGCGGAAGGGTCTTAAATAGGCTAGTTATCCGCTACCTCTCGTTATTAGCACTAATCGAGAAGTCGCCTTAATGCTAGCGATTAAAGAGGTCTATCTAGGCTTATTAAATATCGTCTGCGACTAGTATCTATAGCAAGATATATTAACTCGTATCCGGAAGGAGCGTAGCGAATTTAGTTAGGTAAAGGGCACCGATAGCTCTTAGACTAACAGTCCTTAAACTAGCAAGTTTCTACGGTTGTTTACTTATACTAGTTATAGTTAAACTAAAGCCGAGTTTAACGAGAACGCTCGGAAACTAGAGAACGTCTATCCTATATTCAAGGCCTATCTTAATAACAACTAGTAGTGCTATAAGACTTATATTATCGACTGCTAGACTAACGAAGTGCTACACTTTAGCTATAAGACAACCTCGCGAGTTGAAGCTACCTACGGCCGTATTAAACAATAGCTTAACTATAGTAGCCGCTACGATATCTTTACCTTATTTAAGAGCCTTCTTAACTAGTAGAGCGAAGGGTATAATCGCCGTCGTATCCGCCTTACTAAGAACCTAAAGAGGTATAACAAGGCACTTACTAGACTATTTTAGGCGAGCGTTTCTCGAGTTATAAGCGATTACTGCCTTCTCGAGGTTAAGGTTCGATACTAACGCGCTTACGACCTCCTACGGACTATAACTAACAACGACGGCAACGAGATTAAGCACTCGGCGTACTCGTACTCCTATCTATAATGCCGCTATAACGATTACCTTAGTAAGACGTATAGTTATCCTTATAAATACGATATTATAAAGCTTCTCGAAACAGGTAGAAGCCGCGCTATACTATTACTAAGCTACTTCTATAAGCACTAGTTAATCGACTTCTATAGAACCTTCAATCTACGAGAACTAGAAGTAATCTATAGCAACCGCAAACCTCTTACTAGCGGAGCTACATTGTATATAACAAAGCGTATAGCAACGGCTCGAGAATTAGACGACTTAAATAAGGTTGTAGTAACTAAGAAGTAGAAGACAATAATAGCTAGAATAGTCGACTTTGCCTTAGAACTAGGCGTGTCTCTTATATAACTTCGTACTACGGTTACTAAGTACTATAAGTGCGTAAAGAGCTAATACCGCACTTAATAGTGCCCTTACTAGAAGGCTAATCGACCGTATAGCTCTACTTGCTATCTAAGAGGCTTCGAGTGTTTTAATCTACGAGTTAAGCCTTTATTATTACTTCTAGCCGCCGCTCCGGAGCTACCTTCTAAGACACCTTCTAAGCTAGATCTACTTCGCCGAGAGATTAAGGACCTCCGAGCACGTAAGAACTATCGTCTATAGTTAGAAGAATAGTAGGCTAGACAATAGGCTAAATACAACTACTAATAGGCGGCATTCTATAAGCAATAACGACGAGAGGCTACTTAGCAATAATACTACCGCTAGCAGTTATCGCTTATATAGCTAGTACGACAGATAATAAGCCCTTTATACTATAACGTGCTATAGCAATAGCACTATTAGTTTACTTAGCAATAGCACTATTAGTTTACTTAGTAATAGTATACTAGTTAGTAACTAAAAGACTAGTATAAGCTAGTATATATAGCCTCGCGTAGTTATAAGGCGGCAGGTCGTAACCCGCTTAGACCTAAGTAGATAGAGTATACGCACTTGCCTTAATAACTAATAATACCTTAAATTGTACTATACTACTAATTTGCTAACAAACTTTAGCTTTATAGCTGCTAGCAATAGTATAGCGGTAGTTGCCCGGTTGGCGGGGCCTGTAGCGACGCGATTATCGCTTCTATACGCGATTTTGTATAGAACAGGCGATCTCGTAATCTCGGGTTATGCTAGGGCTCGGGCGGCTAGCTGGGGCTCGGTTTAGAGTCCAGGCTGTCTCGGCTACGGAGAGAGACCGATTGGATTGTGTCGTAGCGAAGCGCCGGTAGCTAGAGACAAGGTTTAAGCTAGACCAGGCAAACAGCGCCCTAATTCCGAATAACATCCCTACCTATCTACTTCCTATCCACCGCACCTGCTGCCCTTGCTACCTCCCTCAACTTCTGCCAAGCCTCCTTCTCACTCGGTGCATCAGGATCAATCCGAGACTCACTCAAACGACCCACCTCCTTCCCCGTGCTCAGCCACCTCTCGACCTTCCTCCACGACCGCCGGGCCCCCAGATTCGATTTCGCCATAGAAATGGTCCACGCATACACACTGTCCCCGACATCACGGATCCTGCTAGGATCTGTAGAATCGGCGATGAGACTGCTGCGGAGATACACGGAGCTCAGATGACTTTCGTACGGGCTCGGGAACACGCCAGCATCGGACTGCACGCCGGGGTAGGCGGCGAGGAGGATGCCCAACGTGGTGCCGTATTGCCGGAGAAGTGGGTAGCAACGCTCGAGGGTGTGGTGCAGAGCGTCGAGGCCGATGCGAGCGTCGTCTAGACGTTGGCGGGCTCGGTCGTATTCGGGGTCGAGGAGGTAGAGGGTAGTGATGAGGGTTGTTAGGCGGTTCCAGATGGGAGAGAAGAGGATGTGCCAGTATTTGGCGCCCAGGAACCAGAGGGTAAAGTTTTCTTGACGGACTTCGGGGGTGATGATGCGGTGGCGTGTGAAGAATCTTCGGAGCCTGTGATAGCGGGAGAGGTCGGTGTCTGTTCGCCCTGGCTGCTGCTCGAGCTTCTCAGCAATATCCGAGAACTCGACCAAAGTATCGGCAACGTTCCAAAACCGCGACCGTAGCCCAATCTTGTCCTCCGTAACATTATTGAGCCAAAACGTGTCTCCAAGCCCATCGACCGCGTTCAACATCTCGGACAAGCGATGACACCGTGTCGTCAAAGTCAGATCCTGCTGAATATCAAGCGGAGTCCTCTTGACCAATCCGGGAAACATAGCGGTACAATCCCCACTACGAAGCCATCTCGGAGTGTCCCTCTGCTCGGCGCAACCAATTTGCCACGCGACCCTCTCAATCTGACACCAATCGCTTCTGATCCGCAGCTCGAGCGGCCAGAAACCTTGCCGTGCAACATCTGCAGTCGCATTTACGAAGTCTTGGAAACTGACACCTGCTCGGCCGTCGCTGGGGTCCCAGGTGTTGTTGACCTTGTATTGTGTCAAGAGGAAAAGCGAGACTCCGAAGGCAACGTAGGGAGCGATAAGCGCGCGGAAGATTGATGTCGAGAACGACTTCTTCAAAGCGGGCCAGGCTCGCCATGCGATGAATAGCGATCGGATCACTCCAGGCCAAAAGGTCCAGGAGAGGAGCTTTGGGGAGCGTGGCATAGGCGCGGGAGGAATAATCATCATAGCGCCGATGCGAAGATAGAACAAGACTATGGCTTTAGACAGATGATGAGCGAGGGTGGAGAGAATGCCGAGGCGGCGGGTAGTGCGGTATAGCCAGGATGTTAGGTTCGCGTAGTATGTTGAGATAAGGATCGCGAAATAGATCATGAATGTAATAAGGAGGGTATTCGGGGAGTCGACGACGTAAGAGTGCCATTGCCATGCGCAGTATGCTGCGAACCCGAATTGGGCGATATCGATGCTCGAAAGCAAGAAGCTGGCCATGGCTGTGTACGGCCGTTTGCTGTTGTGTATTTGCAGGTCTAGAAAACAGATTTTCTGAAATATCAGAGCACTGTGCAGGAAAGTCGGGAGCAGGAGGAGATCCAGCTTCGTTGCGTACGTTTGCGTTTGCTGTGTGACCGCTAGCCGTCGGAGGGAAAGATTTCTGCGCCGACGTTTCACGGCGTCTTGGATGCATCATTGGCTACAGCCAGCACGATCAGTGGCAGTTCCTCTCCATTCCGCCGTGCAGATTCGTTGCGGCGCGAATATTTCTTCGTTACCTAGGTATCAGCCTACGCAAATGGTGGTCTCGCCTAGCGCGCGACACACGACGTCCTAACTAGCCGGCGCCAGTACAAATCTGACTAGATCCAACCAGCTGTAGATTGAGGGAGAAAATCCTCCGCCCCAGAATGCCACCTGCTGAGCCTGAACCGTGTCTGTATCTTCTCCATCCTCCTTGTCCTCGAATGCCACCTGCTGAGCCTGAACCGTGTCTGTATCTTCTCCATCCTCCTTGTCCTCGAATGCCACCTGCTGAGCCTGAACCGTGTCTGTATCTTCTCCATCCTCCTTGTCCTCGAATGCCACCTGCTGAGCCTGAACCGTGTCTGTATCTTCTCCATCCTCCTTGTCCTCTCCCTGCCGTCTTCTCCTGTCCGCTCCCTGCCGTCTTCTCCTGTCCTCTGCTAGCGCTGCCTCAACTTCCTCCTCCCCGAATCCAACGTCTCGTAAGAACGTCAACTCTGCCCGGCGTTGGGAATCCGAGGAATTGAGAATCCGACTCGCTGTTCTAGCGTGCCCGCGTCAGAAAAAAAGGAACAAACTTGTACATCAATCAGAAATCAGGCTTACCGGAAGACATTGACCAACTGATCCTCAATATCCTCATCGCCTGCGGGGCTATACCATTTGGACGTCTCTATAACAATGGCCTGGTCGGCGTACGTAGCGGAGTCGAGGTATCGCCGAATCTGACCAAGGTAGTCTTGGACTGGGTGGACTAGGGCAGGGAGTCGAGGTGATGATGATGATGATGATGATGGTCGTCGATGAGCTTTCGAAGGGTCCATCTTAGTCAGGTGTTGGTAAGTCGACTTGTCAGGTTGTGCTTGGAGATAGCGCAAGAAGAGATCGACGGGCGCGACTATTCGTAAATTAGCCCCGGCTATTCATAAATTAACGGACCCAGGGCCGCTCCGGTCTCGGTGAGACTATATTGTTAGTAATCTATATAGTATAATATCGCATAGAGACTTCTAATGCCTATGCTAGCTGCTAAGTAGAATTATAACGTAGGAAAGAGGAATTAGGTAAATAATAGATATAGAATTAGACCCTAGAGCTAATCTTAACTACTCTAGGCATACTGTCTACCTAGCAAATAAGGTTCTACTACCCTCGTATTAACGTATAGCTCCTACTATACTAAATTAGTGTAGCCTAGGATACCTGCTAGCGCTATAGATACTAGCGGAGTTCTCGGAGGTAGTAGAAGTCCTTCCTACGTAGGTAAGTAAGTAGATACTAGGTTTCTATCGTATAGCCTATACTTATAGTAGCCTATATAGTAGTCTATACTGTCTTTAACGCACTTATACCTCCTATAGGCCGTTTTGTATATATAACCCTTACGTAAAGGTTACTATAGTACCGGTAGTAGTAGAGGTAGAATAGGCCTTCTAGGCTTAGCCTGTCTTATCGCTTCTTACTAGTCTATAGCCTTAGTGGCCTTAGCGGGTTGTTTAATAAGCTTAGGTCTAGTTGCCTTATAGCGAGTCGACCGTATAAGCCGCTTATTAATCCGCTTTAGTAGCTCTAAGGTACGGTAAGTGCTAGTCTCGTTGCTATTATAATTAGTCCTTAGTATCCGCTAGTGCTTCTTAAACATGCTAATAGTAAGAATGCCGGTTATAGACTCTTTAAGTGTTAGTATCTAGTATATATAATTTAACCTATATATCCTTCGATAACACTATAAACAGACTAATAGCGAATAACCTTTCAACTTCCGCTTCTTAATCTTAGCGCGTGCAAGTGCCCTTCTATTAGCCGCCTTGCGTAGAGCGAAGGTACTAATATAGCTAACAACTTCGGTATAGAAGGGGTCGTTAAAGAATACTATTACTAGTCGTATAATCTCGAGTCTAACTATTGCCTTATAGCGGTTAATCTAATAGTAGAAATAGGGCACTATCCGGTTAATAAAGCTATAGATATCGTTTCTATAGGTCGTTAACTATGCCTTAATACTAGTATAGCAACCCTTAATAGGTAACGTTGTTATATTGCTAAAATAGCGTGTTCTGTCGGTCTAGTATTTAATACACTATTCTCGATAGATCTACTAAGTGTCCGCTACGTATAAAGCTAGTCTATACTACGCCTCGTTATCCGAGTAGTTACGAGCTAGTTTACTATTGCTAGCGGCAATCTTACCCTCCTTAAGACGCCTATAGTTGCTAGTAAACGAGTTAATAGACTAAGAGTTAATAGCAGCGTTAAATAGGTCTATAAAGTCCTATGCCGCTAGACTTAATAGCCTACGCCTTGTCGATAGATTAGGTAGTCTAGTACTAAGGAAGGCCTTCGCATTAGCTTCTACTACGCGTTTAATATACTAGCGGCAGAGCTAAGTGCGCAGGTAAAGCTAGTCGCTTGCTAAGGCCTTTATTAATGCCCTGTTACGGTCGTAGATAACGAGGCGAGGCTCTTCTACGCCGTATTCCGATAGCAACTCCTATATATAGCTAATAGCTACTAAATACTGTTTAGTAGCCTATCTAGGCATAAACATAAGCGCTAAAGGGAAGGTCTAGTTAAATTGATTAAGTAAGGCGATTACAAGCAGCGGCATACTATAATCGTTAGTCTTATAGGTGCAATCTATAACTATAATATCCGGACAATTCTTACAGATATTGATTATCTTAGGGTGCGAGAACTACAGCTATTCTAGCCGTCGCTTACCGCTTAGTCTAGTGCCGACGGCCTTCCGTACGAAGTAGTTCTATTATAGGAGGTCCTCGATCGTTTTATCTACTACTAACTTGCTAGCGAGTCTTAATTTCTTAGCCTTTTGCTAGGCATTTAAGATGTCTCGTAAAGTAGCTAGTACGACTGCTAAATTCAGCCCTCCGCTCGAGAAACGAGCCTTAATAGCCGTCTTAATCTGTCGATTAGAAGCACTAGCGGCTCGTAGATTAAGTATCTCTTAGACAATCTCGGTAGTGCGGTAACGCCGTTAGTAGTTAGCTAATACTATTAGATTAACTGCTAGATAGTTGTAGTTAGTGCTATTAAACGTAACGGTCTATTAGCTATTATTAGGGTTAGTCGAGTCCTTAGCAGTTATCGTTATAGACTAAGGGCAATCGTATAACTTCGAGCGGCCTTTACGCTACTTTGCTATTAGATTAAGACGCCTTCGCTCTTCTAATTTGTCTCTCTTAGCCTGTCGAATAGCAGGTATTAAATACCTAGCATAGCGGCGTTAGAAGGTCTATAGAATATAGTCTGTATTAAGTCGGTTGCCTTACTTCTTCGTCTTAAACCCCTTCTCTAAAGCGAACGTTTCTATATATTCTTTAGCATTAATAATACTATTAAATACCTAGTTTTCGGGGTTCTCGATAGTTGCGTATACTCTAGGTTTATAGGCCTTAGCTTCTAACTCGCTCTAGTTACTATATTCGTCGTTATTACTAAAGTTATAGACTAGTTAAGAAGGAGTCTCGATTTCTAAAGGAGGTTGTTCTTGCTAACTAACCCCGCTAGCACCGCCTTTACTACCGCCTTTACTACCGCCGTTACTGCTACTACTATATTCTTTACTATTATTACTGCTTAGCGGCAATAACGGCGGCGGCAACCTCTCGCTACGTACGCCGCGTAGTATAAAACGAATAGTAGTATAGCCTACCTCGTACTACGCTAGTATATTATTGAGAAACGGCAGTATTAGGTTTAGTGTCTTAAAACTATTATCTAGCTTACTAGTTAACTAGGTATCGAGACTATCGTATCTAGCCTTATACTCGAAGCTAATATACCGCTAGCAATACGAGCGCTCGTTTTCCGCTATATCTTCTTAGAAATCTAGGAGAAACTGCTTCAAATAGCGGCGATTAATACTATAGAAGTATTCGTAGCCTTCTATATCCTTAGGTCTATATACCGTCTCGATCTATAATTCGAGGCCTCCGAGGTTACCTAGCTTTAGCTCTTATACCTACTATAGCCTCTTACTACGTATCTCTTAAAACTAGCGCTTTCTTAGATTATATACCTCGCTATTAAATTGGATAGGAGATAGAGCGGCGGCGGCGGCGGCGGCCTCGGTTTGTAGCTACGTAGAAGGGCTTAATAATATAGCTAATATTAGGTATAGAAGGGCGGCGATAGAATAGCGATAGTAAGGTATATATAATAGCGACAGTAAGGTGGAAAATGGCTATCTAGCGGTAGAGGAGATAACTAACAAATTTGCCTTAGGCCTCCTCCGCGATCGGATTACTAATTTATAAATAGCCGGGGCTGATTTACGAATAGTCGCGCCCGAGATCGACTACACCACACTAGTTGGTATTAATTGTCTCCGGTTTTTAGCGTGCAAGGGTTGTAGTAGCTTGCGTTACATTTACGGACATACTCGGTAGTAGTAGAGTCGATTATAGGATCGAGATATAGCCATTTTTGCTAGCCAAATCGGGCATACCGAGGATCTATTAGTCGGCGACGTTATATCGTAGTAGGAAGTCGTTATATTGACGAAAAATCAGCTGTATAGGTATATATAAGGTATTAGTAGAGGTATATAGGTAGGTCAATTTCTACGCTCTTTCTTACTATATTGCAATAGCTTATCTAATCCCCTCTTGTCTCGATATATTACTGCATTCTTAGCTCTTCAATCTACCTAAAAATAGCCTGTTCCTAGACGTAGACAAGTTTAATAAGGTGTAGCTATTTGCTAGCAACTTCTAGCACTAGAAGGTACAGGATAGGTACAAAGATAGACTAATATAACGGACATTATACTATTGTCGTTGTCGGAAGGATGCGAGTCGGCAGCGCGAGTTGCTAGATAGTATTCGGAAGGTAGAGTACTATAAGGATAGGTGCGAGGCTACGTGTATTATAATTGCTATATATCGCTCGAAGGGCTATAACGAGCCGTATATATACAAGGTCGCTTCGTCGTCGCCTAACGCTTCTACCGAGGCGGGCTCGCTGCATTGCCATTCGATAGATTATATAGTAAGTTTAGTAGGGTTGCCTCTCGAGTCGATAGCGGAGGCCTATTCGAGTCGAGTTAGAAGCTAATAGTAAGTAGGACGTACGAGGTGCTAGTAACGGCTTAAAGGTCGTTCTCGAGCACTTAATAGACTAATACGACTAGAATACAGCTTATATATTCCATCTAATAAAGGAAGGTCGTAATACTAACCGTTTTACCGTTATTAGAGGTTATCGTATAAAGGAGGGTATAATAAAGTAGTCGAAGAAGAAGAAGAATATAAAGAAGGTAACCCTAGCTAAGAAGGGCAATATCTCGTTATAACTCGAGAACCTATATAGCTAGCTAGCGCTATTAACTAATCTAGTAAACGGCGCTCAGATACAGTATAAAGCTGTATTAGTAACAATAGAAGGGCGCCCTTATAAGGGCATTATATAGCAAGCGGATTAGTAGAGGCAGTTGTTAGAAAGTGGATTAGTAGGAGATATAAGTGCTTACGTAACCAGGCTTTAGATAAAGCTATAGGAACCGCAAAGCAACAACTAATCTAGGATTAGTTATTTCTCTACGACGCAACGCATAAGACTACCGATATAGGCTAGTATCTCTTTATAGTATATATCCGCAATAGATTCGAAAGTTAGATACTAGTAGCATATATATTGCTGCAAACACAGCGTACGAGGCTTTAGCAAGCTGCTTTCTAAGTCCTAAAGCAGTAGTGCCCTCGCTAGAAGCCGAAGTTAGCTATAACTAACGACTCGGTATAAGAACAGTCCGCTATTCGACTATCCTTCGAAGAGGAAATACGACTATATCTCTACTAGCGGCACGCTAAAGAGACCTTCCTTCGCTACTTTCCTAAATTCAAGTACCCTCTAGTCTAGCGACTGTTTAAAAGGGCTATATACTACGCTCGGAGTAAGGCAGAAGTTGAGGAAGTTATTACTATAATAGAAGCCGAATTACGGCTTCTTAATAAGCAAGAAGAGGCTTAGTATTTACGGAAGAACTAGGGGTCTAAGAAGTTATAGAAATAGGCAATATAGGCTCGATTAAATAATCTAGTCCTTATGCAAATTCGTACAGTCGTACTACATCGCTACTAGAAGGATACTATAATGCTATCAAATACGACCGGAAGAAGGACCTCGCCTAGCTGTCTATATATAGCACTATAACCGAGTTGCTAACAATCGACGCTCGACAACTATACAAGGCGGACCTGTAAAGCTATAGACTTAGCAAACGCATACAATACTGGAAGGTTAAAGAGATGCTATATTTTGAGCAATTAAGCCCTCTAGCAGCGTAGGACTTCGTCCGGAAACAACTCGCTATTACGGAAGAATATAAGGCTAAGGCATTGCCGCTATACGAAGGCCTTATATTATATCGTAATAGACAGCCGCCTTACTATAATTGCCTTCCTTAGTTCTAGCAGCATTTGCTATGCCACTATATACTAAGATACTACCTGTTTGTAACGCCGCTTACTTTATAACAATAACAGATCTACGTTAGTTTCTACTACGGCTTTAATAGTATAGAAATTAGTTAGTATTAGCGGTAGCGAGACAGTACTACCTTGTTTCTCGAGGGCTTCGAGGACAACTAAAACTACAATACTAGCGACCCCTATCTTCGAGACCTTCGCGCTTACTTTAATAAAGGTATAGAAGGCCTCTTATAGCACTTCTACGCGGTCCGTGACGATAAGTTAATCTACGATAGCATACTAAAGGACAAGTTTATAAGAGGCTTCTTGCGTAAGGTTAAGGATACGCTTACTTAGCTAGCTAACTTCTCGCTAGACGACTTCCTTCGAGAAGGCGCGCCTAAGGTTTAATTAACTAGTAACCGACAGCGACAGTAGACACAATAACCTCTACTAGCACCTATTACTCTAACGCGCGCTCGCTATCTAACGCTTCCGCTACTGCTACTACCTCTACTAGCGACTAAACACAGGCCTCGAGCGTTTAATCTTCCGCCGCTTAACGAGACAGTCTTATTACTAATCCGACCGTTATACGTAATCGACCTTCTTACGCCGAGTCCGCTACCCTTTAGGCCCTTACCTCGCAAGAAGGCGCCGCTCCGCGGTGCTACTACTACTACTACTATTACTACTACTACTTCGCTCCGCGAGTCGCTATTATAGGCTTAGTTAGCTTAGCCGTTTAACTTAAATACTATCGAAGAAACAGCCGAGGTTGTAGACCTTACTTCGCTAGCAAGAGCGGCTTTACTATTAAAATAAGACCTAGAAGTAGTAGAAGACTTCCCTTAGTTAGAAAACGATAACGCTATACGAGAAGTAGTAGGTAAGAGGCGGACTTCTAATAAATACAATAGTAGCAAGCGTAAGAGATTAGTGCCGAGAATGCTACCTACTATTAAGAGGCCGAATAAGAGGAAGAATTAGATAGGCGATAGCGATAGTAGCGATAGTAATAATACCTTAGAAGCTACTATAATAGCCTAATTAGGCAAGCCGACCTTAACAAGAAAACCGAGCAAATCCGTAAGTTTGGTGGGTCCCATCATACGCCTAATAATCGGGCCATTTCCTAGCAGGAATAGTGGGGACAGTCCCGCAGAAACCCAAAAGAATGGGACGCTAAAATCCGGAGACATTCAACGCCATCTCACCACACCACCCTACGCCGATCAGCCCAATCGGGTCACCCCACATCTTGGCAGCGGTCCCAGTTCACCTCCGTACAAGAGTCTAGAGAATGGATCGATCTTTCTTCACCTCCCAGAAATCCATCAATTGCTGTTCTTAGTACGTGTTTTCATGACCGAGAGGACAATGTAGCCGAGCACAGCAGCAGTGAGCATAGGCAAAGACAACGCAAGAGTGGTGGGAATGTCCCTACCGAACAGGATAACGGGAACTTGGTTATCGCAGTACGTTCCATCAGTCGACAGCAACGATGTTTTGGATATCAACTGGGATGCGCTGGTCGAATTCAACTCTTCCCACATTGACATGCTCCCGGACGAGGCCAGCGTCATCGGCGACTCGCAGTCTTCCAGAGACGCAATTGCACGCCACGTTCCAGGTCGCAATTGCTCGGCATACCAATCCACGTGCTAAGGAAAGTAGGTACGTACGTAGCGGACGATACCCCGAGGACTTCTGGTGAGAAAGAGTCGCTGGATGATGTAACGAGACTGAAGCAAAAAAGCGTACCTCTCAGGCAAATGCCTGCCCACTTTGATGAACGCAGCCTGCAGCAAGGTCCGTAGCAGACTCCCATCCCGAGGTTGGCAGGATTAATTCACCGGCAGTGCAGCTCGCAATGTACCTCGCACAGCCGTGGTCATTATCACTGGTCGAGTGCATGAGTCTACGGAGCTACTTACCTCAATGCGCATGCGCCGCGGTCAACTGCGACGCCTGTGTTCCGCAATGTCGCTTGAGACAATCTCAGTGAACCAGGCAGGGGTGGATGCCGATACAGTTCTAATGCACAAGTGCGTCAAGCAAAGCCGAGTCGTTCCGTCTCGGGCAAAGTGTGAGACCCATCTGCCATTCTTTCCCTGCTTATGTACTGATCGTTTAAAGATCCAAAGCGCTTCTAGTTGGACGATTTAGACGAGTTCTACATGTATTCCTACCACAATAAGCCACGGGAAATCCGACGCCATCGGAGACGCGAGATACGTAGTCAATATCAGCTTTATGGACGATTTGGTTGAGATGTTGTAAAGACTGATCAGAGTCGCGGTCTATTCATCGTTCTAAGCTTTCCAGACCAGCTCACCTGCACAAGCTCTAGGGACCTTATAGACTGCTGTATCGTGAACTGGACTGGGGCCCATTCGATCGGCTGAGATGGGGCGTCGCATTCAATGGCGTGTGAGCACAGCTGCGCATTCATCATGCTTTGCCTTTCAGCCAGGGCGACCACGTCCACGAGGGCTCCGAAGCGCTCTCCATCGCCTCTTTCTCGGCTCGTCGACCAATGTCCTTCTATTCATGCCAGTCCGAAGGCGCCGGATCTTCGGTGGCATTTCTATCGATGGTTGCGGTCAAGTCTTCAACAAAGGCTTCCATATCCTCGGTAACATCCTTTGGCCATGGCAGTTCGTCCTCGGCAACACGGCGCAGTCCCTTCAGCAAGGGCCCAACGCAGTCTGGAATGGTGGTATAACGACGGAAGCATTGGAAGATGGGAATGTCGGCAGATTCCAGAGTGGCAGCATCTTTGATCGGACTTCTCGCGCGTGATGGGAATAAGCGCGCGGAGGAGCCGCGAGTGCCTGATGATATGGCGATGGCGATGATGGGCCAGATGCAGGCACATGCGCAGGGTTGAAGAAGCACTCGATGTGCACTCATCACCGGGAGATGGGGTATTCGATTTCTTAGGCGAAGCATCTGGATGCAAAAAATTGAACGAGCCGGTCAAAGACGACGAAAAGCAAGAGGCGGGGGGACCAAGATGAGCGGTTGCGGGGGTCGGAGGAGCGGAACAAGAAAGCGGACAGCGACTATGTATACAGTGCTGGCATCATTAGTAGAGGTATGGAAAGGTGGAGCAAGAAGCGTACGTAAACGAAGGAGTTGAAAATGGCTGTAGCCAGGTCCAAAAGGTTCATGCTGCAGGCAGCAACAGTAAGCAAGGCTTGTGACAACTACAGCTGCTGCGCAAGGCTCAAATCCCTACTGATCTCCTCCTTGGTGTCTATGAGCTTCTTTCCCGCGCTACTTGTAGCAGCTAATGTGCGTCGCCATACTACCACCTGTATCCGGTGCTTCTCCGTGTCCGCACGGAGAGCTTCCATCGCTGTGATATTGGCATTCCGCAGGGCTTGGAGACTCGCCAAGCTGCCGGGCGGTAGCCTCAGTCGGTGAGAGGAGAGACGACTGTTCAGTTCCTTGTCGAGATCCTGACATTGAGCGAATGTTGACTCTGCTATATCTATAGCATCTGCTTCGGCGATGTTTCTGTGTAGAGCAAGCTCCAGGGCATCACATGTAGCTTTGGCTTGGCCAATGCACTGCATCAAAGTCCTCAAAGCATCTCGATACTGCTCTGCAAGGCGTGTCGATTCTGCCCGGATATGCATCAAAGTTTCCAGAGCGCCGAGACCCTCCGTGGGCTTCGGTGCTGGTGGACAAGTTGGCCGTGTCAAGTGGCTCGGTAGGTTGAGGTCCCAGTCGTCTTGATTGGACACATTGCGCGTGTCTGGTCCAGAAGCGCGCAAAGCGACTCCAAAAAGAAGCCGCAGCAAGGACGAATCCAGCTGACGCTGATGAGACACTTCCGCTGCACGAAATACTACGTCCGCGATCGCTAGGATCCCGCAATTGACGTCGTCGTTCTGTACTGGCGCATCGGAAGCCCAAGTAATAGTCAACTCCCTTCCTTGACTATCGGCGGGAAGCTGCTGAGAGAATTGGCGAATCCGTGCCTCGAACCCTTTATGCCGGTGGGTTTGGCGTAACGAGTCCGATACAATACAAGTCCACGTATTGGAGTAAATTGTAGCGATAACCCAGTGGTGGTTATCGCAGAGCGGAAGAATGATATTGGGCATCTGGTCGGGAGGGTAGTCACGCAGAGGGCGATACGGCCGATCTCGCGTAACCGTCGCCGCACTCGAATCTGCGACATGAAACCTGCTTGGGATCAGTGCCGACAGAAGCTTGTCGACAGCGGTAGAGTTGAGCCATTGCCCAGACTCGACACGCGCTAATGCTTGATCCGCTGTTGGTGCTGCGTCGCGATTGGAAGCTCGTAGGGGAGGTCTGGAGACTGGAAGGGCCGACGGCGTCTTCGTATCGAAGTTCCAGTCTACGGCCGGCCGGTGCTCGGTCCCTAGTTTGTTCTGTTTCTCTTCAGTCTCTTCTGTCTTCGACCTCTTTTCTGTGCTGTGTGCGTCTGCGGCGGCGGGCGAATGTGAGGTCCTCGACTGCAGCGTCATCGCGGGTTGGTCATAGCTTGCTGGGGTGGGTGGCAGCAGAGACTCTTGTGCAGATGGCACTACGTCGCCGCTACGTGGTAGAAGCGATGGAGTGCGCGTCGTCTTCGAGGGATCCGGGCTTGGGCTTGGGCTTGAAAGCTGTAATGGCGGTTCGAGCTGGAAGTGCGAAGATTCTGCGTCAGGCTGCGTGAAGTCGATGTCAAGGAGTGGGCGTGGTTCAGCGATAAAGTTGGACGGCGATGTGTGAGCCGTGCCATCGACCGACGTGCGCCAGCTATCTGAAGTTGCAGGCTGCGGCTGAGGGAAGTCGCGACGCGTGCGCTTACAGGGCTCTGGACTGCCGGCGAAAGAGTGGAAGCGACGTTTGCAGCGCGTGGTTGCGAGAGGATTACGGTCGCGTACCTGCTCAACCGATTCACTCGGGTCCTCGCTTATGGTGCCATCTTCAGCGATATCGTCATGTTGGATGCTGCTGTCGCCGTCGCCGTGGATGAACTCATCGTTGACATCGCCCCGCGGCTGCTCAATCGACTCCCTAGAGTCGTCCCCACTCCTGCTGCCCTCTTGCATGCTGCCGCCGCTGTCACTGTCGTTGTCATTAACGTAGCCGAACTCGTATTCAGCGTCCAAGTCTCCTGGAATGCTTCCACCCTCCTGGGCATTCGTGGCCGGGACAATGCTTTCGGCTTCAGCTTCGTCTACGGCCAGGCTGGCATGGTCTTCCTTCTCGATGGGTACGGTCGTGACACCACTATGTTCGTTCTCGTCCTCAAGAATGGTCGATAGATCTCGGATTCCTTCTCGTGTTCGCTCTCTTGGCGGCGGTACCTGCGCTGCTTTCCCATCTTGTCCTCCTGGAAGATCTTGGTCTCCATGAGGACCCTTTGGCCCATCATGTCCTCCGGCTGCTTCTTGCTCTACTGCTGCCTGCGACGACTCCATCATCTGATCTTCCGCATCTGTGCACTTGCTCGTAGCACCTTGCTGCGCACCGCCATCAATATGCAGCGAAGTGACTTTGCCGGCTTCGAGGAGCAAGGAAACGGCGCGTTCGTGGTCGCCGGTTTTGTAAGAAGCGGGAGGAGGCCGGTTGTGCTCGTAGCGCTGCTTGCGTGCCGACACGCTCGTAGTCTGTCGCTCGTTCGCCGCTCGTGCTAGCGCAGGAAGATAGTCCTGCATCGCCCAGCCCGCTTTCTCCGCCGAGCTTAGGCCTGAGACCAAGGTGCGCGAGAGGCCGTTGACACCCACATGGAAGAGGCCGAGCAGGTCCAGGAAATCCATGTTCCAGCAGCAGCGGGGGTCCTTCTTGTTGCGTTTATCAGGCTGCGACGTGAGCGAATGCACGATAGAGAGCAATTTCGCGTCGCGCTCCCTCAGCTCGTTCTCCGCCGTCATTTGCAGGAAGGCGGCCAAATCAGGAGATATATGCTGCCGGACACGCCCAAAGGGGATCTGGCCATCCTCGGCGGCAAAGGCATCGTAGAGGTCATAGAAGGTATCGAGCAAAGGCGTTTGCGACTGCCATTGCACATGCAGCTTCTCGCACAAGGACGCGAGACGAGGTGCCAGCGAGCCAGTGTGCGGAATGTCTAATGACGCCGATCGATTGTTCGAATCGCCGCCGCTACTGCTACCACTGTTACAGGATGTCGCTATCAACTTCTTGGGCGCGTCGTTGTTGTTTTCGTTGTTGTTTTCGTTGTTGTTGCTTCGAGTCGGAGCTGTCTCGGCCTGAACCAGTGGCCCTTCCGTCGGCGTCGACGCCCGCGAGAGAGCAGGAGAGCGAAGCCGCACCATGGAGTTATATACCACGGTGCATGCGGACATGTATGTGGCCGCACGTGTATTGCCAGTGGTGTGGTTGGAAGCGTGGCAGTCGACATTGACAGTGAGGCAGGTGCAGGTGGTCAAGTACAATCACAATCGCGCGCCTTCCAAGTCAGCGTTGAAGCTTCGGTCCACGAATGCGGGACCGTCCGGTGACGCGCAGGGCCCGCGAAAACGGCCACGCCGCGCCATCCCATCACCTTCGTAAACTGGCTCACGCCATGTGCTGTAATTGAAGACATTGACGCTGTAACGGGACGACCGCTTCGAGTAGTTGGTCTGTCGGCTTTCTTCAACGTGGTATTAGGCCTTGTGGGCAACTGAGGGTTGTTCTTCTCGGCTCTGGCCCGTTTCAAAGAAGGCAAGGACAGTGCTGAGCTCCCTGGCCGTGAGCCAGCATCGCTCTTACTACTCCTTGTGGGACGTTTAAACAACGGCAGCAGCATATCCGCCCTTAGAAATTACCTGCGCTCATTCCAGCCTCTACACATCAAGCGCGTGACAACCAGCCGGCAGTCTTGTCTCCGTCGGGCGTCGAAAAGCTTGAAAGGGTATATAACACCCTCGCGACTGCGACACGTATGTTTGAGACGTGACTTCTTGAAATAAGCAAGGCGCATTGGGATTGGAGGAAATGGCTGGTGCTAGCGGACGAGTCTGGAAGCGCGGGACCCGCGGAAGGGGCCACAAATTGTGTCCGAAAACGCGGGTCCGGCATTACTAGCCACTTTCGGAGCAAGGTCTGGTCCAACAGAGACGAGCAGGAGCCGGAGTCGTCTCCAATACGAGCCGTGCTGGAAGCGTCAATTCCAGCAGACGACCGATGGTATTCCACACGCCGCCACTGGTCCAGAAATCCAGTCTTCCCCAACAAGTCATTAACAATCACACATACTATGGCCATCCACACCAGCCTACCCAATTCACGTATCCAAATCATCCTGCGGACCAGCTCATGCACCTCAACCAAGGCATGAATGTCCTAGAAGATCAAGAGGCCGGCCAGCTTTTGGATACCGTCTCGGGTATTTCCAGCAGTACGCAAGCTATGGTGACTGGATTTGAAGGCTTACGCAACGCGCACGACCAGAGACATGCAACACTGGAGGCAGAGATTACCAGGCTTCGCGCAGATCAGGCCAGTCTGAGTCACATCGATCAGCGACTGGAAGGTCTGGAGTCAATGGTAGGAAATGTGGCTTCCGAGGTTAGAACTGCATATCAGCAGATCGAGGCTGGAATCAAGGCTTCTCAAGCTGCAAATGAGGCTGGCATCCGCCAAATAGTCGAAATGCTGGAACAAAATCTTGCCATTCGGGCCAACGTACAAACGCAAATAGCAGACATTCGTTCGTTGTTCGTGGGCGTCCGAGAAGGCTCTCAGAATGATCAAGCGATGAAGCCGCAGGTACTGGAGCCAAAGTGTGGAAGGGCGGCTACGTCACAGACGCTGGGAAGTAGTGTTGGCTTTCCACTGCCCAATGTTGCAGCTTCTGGTTCCATGCTTCAAGATTCGAAGCCAAAAGCGAGATCAAAACAGTCGGAGACCAATATGCTCGAAGTACAGAAGCTACGACGCCTCCTCAGCATGGCAGAAATGGCCACCCGCGCACTTGAAAGCATCAACAGCAGTCCTCGACCATCACTTACCTCGAAGGACAGCTCGAAGACTTGCATAAGGCGCAAGAACGCCAAAGTCGGGTAGAGCAGCAGCGAGAAGCGCGACAGGACGCGCAGCAGAAGGAAGGGATCGATGCTGATATCCAGGAGATGAAGAGTACGGAGGCCCATACATACCAGAGGCTCAATGTACTGTTCTCACCGCCTTTACCACTAATTCTTCGTGTTTAACCTTCTATAACTCGCGCTATACTCGCTATCGACTCGTACGACTCGTACGATGCCTCTACGTATTAATCTTTCGCTATAGTAGGCTTAGATAACCGCTTAGGTTAGTAGCGGTACTATACGAGACGAAATCCTATAGTACCTTTAATAGGAGACCGGGTGTTAGATATCTCTAAACACCCTTAAACGAAGGCTTAAGGAGTAGAATGTTAACTATAGCAATTATACTTACTATTACCGACTTAACGATATCGAGATACTAAAGATCCGAGTCGTATATACCTTCTCCGCTTTACGCTTAACTAATAAAGAGGCGGTTGAAGTACTAAAGATAGATAGATTTAATATTAGCTAGCGGAGATATTAACGGATACGTTAAGAGCTTAGATTAAAGAAGGTAGTATCGCGAGATAAATAGATAGAGGCGGAAGAGGAGATAGTAGAGGAATTATATAAGGAGCTCGAGAAGTCTATAGTAGAGTCGTTTAGCCGAAGGTACCTTTATACCTATATTAGGTCTAGATACAACATCGTTAGTAGAGACCGGCTATATCGTATAGCTTGCGTACTAAATCCTAAAGGCTTACGAGTCCGCCGCGAGCGGGTACGAGAGTACTATAGTCGGATAATAACTCTAGGTCTAAGTTACGCTATATTAATAGATACTTACTATAAATTCGAGCATTAAGGGATACAGATCTACGTAGCTATTAATATCTACTCGCGTTACATTATCTAGGTCTATATAGGGATTACTAGCCGGATAGCTATATCTATACTCGCTTAATATATTACAACGATTAAGAATAGTCGTGTAATGCTATAGATTATCCGATTAGACCGTAGGGCGGAAACGATTCTAGCCGCGGACGCTTACTATACGACTCGCCTTACAACTCGTAATAAGTCGGAACCGATACCTTCCTTCTAGGACTATTTTAAATACGGTACTAGTAAGATAAACTAGCGGATCGAAATATAGTAGGCTTAGTAAGTACCCGCATTAAATAGCTAGCGGTCCTATTTCTACGAGTTGCTTCGCGAGTTACTATACGATACTAGACTGCTAGCCGATAGGATTTCCTTCCTTACTATCTATATCCCGATTATATAGAATAAAGTCCTCGAGTTTGTTTACCTCTAGAATAGCTATCGTATCCGGAAGTAGGCTAATCGACTATATACTATACTAGGTATTCCGCATATTCTTTACTATTATCTAGAGCTTAGCGGGCATTCTTATTAGGGTATTCCTATACCGGAAGGTATACTAGATAATATCGAGCGAGACCTTAAAGGATTCGGTACGTATTTAATTCTATAGTACTCGCTATAGACTCGCTAATTATCCTAGATCTTGAAGCCTTCCTACCCGAGACTATACTTACTTAGTATTAGATAGTATTAGTTGCTTATAGCTTCTCGTACCTAGTTAGTAGTAGCGAGAATAGTAGCGATAGAGAGCGAGTTTACCGCGAGGTATACGTACTTCTTCGACGGCTAGTTGCGGAGTATATAGCTATAGGGTTAGAGCTTAAACCAATAGAATTAGATAAGCTATTAGTAGCTCGTAATTAGACGTTAGGGGCGCGAAATACCGATGCTAGGTTAATTAAGTTTGTAAATAATATATATTAATCGGCGAGCCGCGAGCCGGCCGCGAGTATATAGCGAGTCGCTTATTCTAGTTCCCTTCTATCCCCCTTCTATCCTTAATCTTACCTTCTACGCTATTCTATCTCTATTCTACTACCGATTCAATATATATAATAATAGCTATATAGGCGGAGTTTTGCCCTATAATAGGCATAAACTATATACGATTATTAGGGGAGAGATATATACACTATCTATAGTACTACGGTAAGAATCCTAACCTACTAGATTAGCGATTTCTTCGCGAGCTATTAGTAGTAGCGAGTCGAGTAACGAGTAGACTTAGACCTACGAGTATAGCTACGAGTATAGCTACGAGTAGAGTAGCGAGTAGAGTAGCGACTAAAGCAGCGACTAGAGTAGCGACTAGAGTAGCGACTAGAGTAGCGACTAGACCTACGAGTAGACCTACGAGTGTAGCACGAGGCTATAATATGTTCCCCTCTCTACCCGAGTACGCTAATACTATACGCAATGCTTCTATTTAGTACCTTAGGCTATCTTAACGACTAAATGCTAGAGGTCGGAGCCTCTCGTATCGTTAACTAATACCTACTACTTCTTCTTCTTCTTCTAAAAAGCTAGTAATTCCGAAGATATTTAAAATCTACTATCGTGTCTTCGTTTACTATATCGATATTGAAATATAGGGTACTAAAGAGACATAGATATATTATAAAGTAGAGCTGTTTTTACGGTCTAATAATGCCTAGTCTAACTAAGATTATAAAGTAGCTAATATCAACCTTATTAACTAGATTATTTAGCGGTTAGATACGGATCGGCTACCTAATAATAGTGCTATTACGCTTATAGACGACTATTCTAAACACTTCCTCTATACTAGCTTCGACGACGATACTAATATACTAACGAAGATATTATCTAAGGCGCTAAACTTAGCATTAATTGTATAGACTCTTATAATCTTTAAGCGAACCGTAAGGGCACCTAATTATACGATATCTATTTGTGTCTAGTTGCTAAAGGAAATACACCTTCCGGAAAAGTAACTAAAGCGGAAGTACCGGACAAGTAAACCTACTACTACGAGTACTAGAGCGAGTACTACTACGAGTTAGCAATAGTAAGATATTGTTGCTAGTATAGAGAAGCCGATTAAGGAGGAGCCTAGGTCGTAGACTAAGAGGAAGATTAATATAGAGAAGCCGCCTAAGTATATTAACCTAATAAAGACACCGCGAGGTAAGGGCGTATTGTAGATTAGTTAGCACTGCCAAGTACTAAGAGCTAATTTCCTAGTAGTATATATAGCATCTAGTATAGACAGAACTTAATCTCTTTTCCTCTATATAATTCTATAGTTAATCAATTAATGACTTGTTCTACTTAGCTTAATTATAATAGGTTATAAGCCCGGCGTATACGCTTACCTGTCCTAACTAATATAGACGAATTGTTATTATAGTAATACTAGTTTGAAGTTAATCTAACTAGCTATAGATTAAGTAGCACCTCTAGAGTTAACTACCGAAATAGGGCTACCCTGCACTTAGTACTAAATTAGATCTGACTAGCAGTTAGCACCTATAAGCTAAGCGAGCTAAGAAAGAGCTTAATAGCATAGCTAACACTAAAGAATCCGTAAAAAGCATTAAGGAAAATCGCATCCTAACGAGGACGACTAACTTTTTATTATAGAGATAGATCCTTTAGAAAGAGCTGCTAAAGGAGAAAGTATATAGATATATACTTTACAACTTGAAATAGGCAAAGCTATACTACAAACCTCTTAGAATTAACTACGATAGTAATCCGGATTTTAATAAAGCCCTAAGAGAGTTTATAGAGAAAGATAGCATTGCTATAGGCATTCTAGTTAAAATAATCTTACTAGATCTAAGACCTAACTTTAAGAGCATAATTACCTAGAAGACTACTAAGGACTACTACGAGACTATAGCAGCTATATACTAACCAATTACTATAGTAGATATCTACGATACCCTAAAGGATTTTAGAACAGTTACTCTTAAGTAAGTAACATCTAATAGCACCCTTAAGTACTGTAAAGACTTTTAAGCATAGGTGTAGAAGTACAAAACAGCTACTAAGCAGTTTAAGAGAGTATATAATATTAAGCCTAAGGATATTAAGATCCTAGACCTAATAATTAGAATGCTCTTTATTAATAGTCTTTAGTACTATAAATAGCTTAGAAGCTAGAGGCACAATAATAAACCAGAAGGGACTAGCTAGACTCTCGAAGCAATAATTATATCCCTTAGAAAGGAAAAGCCTCTAAGGTTATAGAACTAGTAACAAGGCAAAGCCTTTGTAGTTGTCTCTAACATTAAGGTTAGGGATAACAATAAGTAGTATTAGCACTGCAAGTACAAGTATACTAATGTAAAGTGCTAGAAACAATATCCTAATAGAAAGCTGTCTAAGGATAAGGATAAGTTAAAGAAGAAGTTAAAAGATAAGAATAAGTCTAAATTAAAGGACAAGGATAAATCTAAGTCTAAGAACAAGGCTGCAGCTGCTAGAAAAGATAATAGCAGCGATAATAATAACGAGTATAAATCAGATTCTGACTCGGAAGGCTAGGCTTTAGGGGCATATATTATATTAACCCTAGCCTAAGCATCCTTTAATTAAAGCCTAACTCCTATTGTATTAGCATCCCCTATAAACTAGGATAAAGCAATAAAATTCTAGGATACTAGCATATTATACTATATATTTAACAATAAGGACTGGTTCTCTAACCTTAGGTCCCTTGACTTGCCTGCTAGGTTTAGCCTTGCTCTAGGCAAAGGAAGCTATAGAATAATTAGGGATATTTACCTCAAGTTCCTCTAGAAAGGCAAAACTGTAGGGATGGTGCTTGGAGAAGTGTTGTGTTTGCCTAACTCTAATATAAATCTAATCTTAGTGGAGAGGATCTATAGGAAAACTAGATACTTCCTGTATAGACTAGCTGTAACTATCTAAAGAAAGGATAGTAAGGTTATTAGAGAGGCAAAGATTAACAATATTGTAACAGTTCTAAAGCACGTTAGGATTGTTCCTCCTAAAAGCTAGCTAGCTATTATACTAGCAGTTGCCTAACTAAAGGCAGATACTGTTAGAGTGTATTAGAGACTTAGCTATATTAGAAGCAAGATACTAAATGCAACTAAAACCTATTAAGACTGTCTTAGCATTAACTATATTAACACTACCGAATTGGGGCACTATAAAGCCTATAAGCTTATAAGGTCTTAGAGGATAGTCTTAAGGATTGTAAGAAGGACTCTAGTTTAAGCTCTAGATGAAATCTATATTAATATTCTTAGACTAGTTATACCTCTAGATATCTATAGGAACCGCTACTTATACCTACTAAC